CGCGTACGCGTCTGCGCCGCCGGTGGGCTTTTCTCTTCCCCACCCCCCTGCCCCTGTACCTGTACACGCGATCAAGCGGCTTTTCTTCACAAACGCATCAACGCCGAAAGTTCATTTTTATCACGTGAAAGCCTCATTATTTATTCCAAATTATCATCATCGTCATCATCAAAAGAGCAACAAAGATGAGGTGGAAGTCTTAGCGAACGACTAGAGACTGCCGTTATGTATGGTTTTGGATGGTGGAAAGAGAGTTGTGCTCAAAGAAACAGAGAAAAAGAGATACCAAAACCCTAGAGAGGAGCAATCTCACCCTTGTTCTCAATATGTATGCAGCATATGTAGGTAGACTCCGTTTTCGCCGGCGCCTGTCATGATCACAGAGTTACTACTGGCACCCCTGACTGAGACCTCGAAAAAATCGATATCACCTCCGGCTTTTGATACTGCTGATGCTATCGAATGCCAATTGTGTGATTACGACAGGTCACGACCGCGGAAACGGAGCGCTTATGTACAACGAACGAATAATAGCATCATTTCCCGTCCTGGAGATCTACGCTGATTGACTAGATGAGAACAGACGAAGCGGTGTCACTGAGACACCATGTATACAATATGTATTGATTGATATCTCAAATGTAAAAAATCGATTCTATAATAATTTGTCAAAGTTGTCAGCTGCAGTCCTTGGATGAGCTGCTCGGGAACGTCACGTAGAGTTTTGATGGCCACATTTCTGCGCTCCTGTTCCTTGCAACAGTCAACGTGTTTTGCGCACTGTGCCGCGCGCGGTCGCGTGCGGTCTCACAAGCCAACGGCCCGTTTCTAGTAGAGTTGAAGGACAGAAAAGATTTTCATATTTTCCCCACAAATAGTCAGACTATTGGTCGGACCGCGACGCGACCGCACACGAACCTGTCCGCAAAACACCACTGTTACCTCAGGAAAACGGAAGCCACAGAAAAAAAACGTACAGGATTTCGATGCCATTGCTGTGAGGCTGCTGGGTCACATGTCAACCGAAAAAACACAAACTCCAGTCAATCGTCGTTCATTTAGCAGTTATGGCGTCAATTATATTGTTTTGGCCGTCGCACTTCACACCTTTGGCAGTCGAAATCCGTACGGTTTCTATAGTATCTCACTATGAATCACAAGCACTTTGAGTAATTGGTCATATTCGATCCGTAGATAGGAAAATTTCTTTGTAAAGCTGCATTGTTGCCGCCACCGAATCCACCGTAACCCATCGTTGACGGGTTGAAGAAGGCACCGCTCGTCTGAAATCACACGGGGTACGTGAGAGAACTGGAGGCCATAACTCCTACTAGACAGTAGATCGACTGACCTGTAACCCAGTTGGAATGAGTGATCTGTAGTTGGCCGACCAACCACCTTGCATGAAGTCTTGCTGTAATCGATTCACCGTCTGCGGTGAAAGGTAGTCAGGACCAGCGCCGCCGGTTTGCGGCTGCAGTGCTTGAGCTATCCCTGAACAATTTTAGAATATTACCTTCGTCATATATGTTCAATATTTTCGTGATAAAAAAGGCCAACGCTGTACGCATCAAAACCTTTTAGTTCGCGATAAGAAGGTAGTGGAAGAGGAACTCGTCCGCGCGCGCTGGATCGCATCGCAGTGCCAATGAACATCTTGCGGTTACTGTGAGCTGAGCGAATCTGCGTATCGCCTATCCTTAATGCTCTTTTACAACCGTGAAATGTAAAGACATCAGACAGAACATTTAGGATCACTCGTTTCGAGTCACGGCAGTGTGGAGGTTGCGTGTCATTAGGTCCGCTTTGTGTGCATAGATACTAGCGATTGAAAGTGTACACAAATGCACGGAGTAAAACGTGTGGGCCAAGTTCACGTAATAGGAGACACAGCGGAGCACCCGACCATTGGGCATGCAGTGCATGAGGTTTGAAGGGTGCGAGCGCCAAGAACTGGGCTCGACCAGAAGCGGACCTAATGGCCTTTTGCTGTGATGGGCACATTGTCTAACGCTTCCTCCCCAAAAGGGCTATCCAAGGGATAATTCTGCAGATATCCAGCGTTGCCCCGGCCTTCTAGAAGGGACCCAAAATTGCTAAAACTGCACAATAGAAGGTTACTTACCCTGAAAATCGAACTTGTAGGCGTATCGTTTTCCATGCACCTTGCACATGATGTTCTTGTCATAATAATAGCGTAATGCTCGCGACATTTTGTCGTAGTTCATGTTCGGTTTTGACTTTCGCTCGCCCCATTTCCTGAAAAAAAAACATACGTTCACACCAGAATTGATTTTTCAGGGCGATAGGTTTGAGCACTGAACTTAAAGGCACTGTGCACGAAGATCATATGGCTCGTCTGTGTCAAGAAAAATTGGTATTCCCGGCCTCTTACGGGACTCATAAAAAGAACAAGAAATTAAACTTGATTTTGATCCAAAAATTCGAATAGCATAGTCGTTAACTCAATTTCTCGCCGTAAAACTGTTACAAGTGTTCAGGGTGGGGAAATAACACGCGTGGACGTGTTGAACGCATAAATGTGACGAGTTTCACGCTGAATCACCCCAAAACCTTACATGTGGCCGTATTCAACTCGTACTTCGTTCCATCGACCCCATTTTGCTTGCTCTGCTTTCTTCCAGCAGACGCCAAGAAGATAAGCTTCTCCAAAAATATTTTCCCCCGGAACTTCATTTTTTAGGCTCGGAACTTTACTCATGATTTCTTTTACGAACGCAGTTTTTTCTCGTGCTCGATGCCTTTAGCCCTTCCGCCTGAAATCGCTATTACCTGGCCACTTCGTCTGGATCGACCAATTTGAA